GTCAAACTTACGACTCCGGCTGCCGAACGGGCGCGAACCCGGGCCCACTGGCGTGGACAAGCGCGCTTTTTGTGACCTCAGTTTGCGTGACAGGCGCAGCACTTCGTCGGATTTGTTGCATCGGAAGGTCAAGTGCAGATTGCGTGACAGGCGCAGCGCTTGTGCAAGGTCAGGTAGATGGTTCGTGGCCGGCGCAGTCGCAAGGTCAGGCAGAGATTTCGTGGCAGGCGCAGCACTTGCCCAAGGTCAGGAGCACTTTCGAAGCACTGCAGATACGCCAGAGCAAAGAAAGCTTCGAGACACAAACAAACAGACGCACAGACAGATGGACAGATAGACAGGCACGTAATCAAATAGGGAAGTAAACAGGCAGAAAGACATAATTAGATAGGTAGATACATAGAAATATGGATAGACAGATTGGTAGATAGGTTTGATAGATAGATTGAGAGACAGATGGATAGACAGATTGGTAGATAGACAGATAGATAGACACACCGACATACCGATAAATCGGTAAGTTAGATCGACAGATACATAGATAGACATAGAGAGGCATAGGGTAGGTAGATAGTTTATACAGCTTAGATACTTAGGCAAGTGTCACTGGATAGACAAGTTTGTAGATAGACAGGTAAGTTGGTAGGCAGGTGGGTGAATAGCGAAAGACAAAGAGCATGACAAAGAGAGACAGAAAGGGAAATTAGAAGACAAAGAGGAAAGAAAGAGAGAGAGAGAGAGAGCCAGAAAGACAGAGACAAAAGAGAAAGGGAAAGAAGAGAGAGAGAGAGAGAGAGAGAGAGAGAGATAGAAAGAAGAGAGAGAGGGACAGAGACAGAGAAAATCAATCAAAGGTAACAGGAAACATATCTGATAAATGTATCATATTTGCAGTTTTCCGCACACTGGCTTTGCCAGGTCTACTGCAAATTGTGTTTATTGTGTTTTATTGCCATTACATTAATACTGCTTGTCTGCTTTTAAGCTTGTAAGTTGCTTGCCGCAGTCTTCAAACGCAGTGAAATCCTTTGGTTGAACAGAGGGTGCACGCTGCAGCACCAACATCCACTGGCTGCGTGCAGCCACGGCCAGCGCACCAACCACATGATTTGCCTCGAATGCAGCCGTTGAGGTTGGCCCGTGTGAGCGGTTGAGCGTGTCGTTGTACCCAGGGCTTGCTTGTGCCAGCACAAGCCAATATCCTGATTGGTTGGCCCCGAAAACAAACGCAATGAAGCTGGCGCAACGCACATCACACCGGAGCATATATGATTGGGCACGAGCAATGGTTTCTTAAACACTGAAACGCATGTATGCTTGCCCAAGGGCCGCCTTGGACAATTATTGTTCCTTTGCTTTACTTAACACCGAAGCCCTAAGTTTTGCTTAATTTGTTTAATGCAACCAATTCTCGACAGCTATGACCTCGCTTGAACAAATCGTTTCAATATGTTGCAATAGGATTGCCATCCCATTCGACTAAAACAGCACTTCAGCTTTCCATCGGAGTCTGCCCGATTCCAAAAACACAGGCCGGATTTTCTCGCATGCCCCTGTTCGCAGAAAGTAAGCCCACATCGCACGTCCGTGATACTTTGACGCAAGTCCGAGCAACGATCCGACTTTGTTTTAATCAAGCACAATGCTAAACGTGAGACGATTGTGCAATCCTCAGACTCAATCCACACAAGCGGTCAAGAAGGGCAATAGTTCTGATGTGCGAATCATTTACTACAGCTGCGCTCAAACGAGGCTTGATTTGTATTCAGACATACAACAGAGCGTAAACGTGGCACAGAGGACACGGAAGGTACACAGTGTGCTGAAGAGACTCTTGTGCCAGCAACGTTTGAGCCGTCATTTTTTGGTTGCCAGGTTGCTCTTCGATGATGTTAGCTTTTGACTGGGCCCAACCACATGCATCTTGTTTGGCCGATGAGATGGTCGTTGGCACTCAGTTGCCTTGAGCAATGCCTTGCCAGGCCGCGGACGGTCAGGAGACTGCTGTGGGTGCTGGCTCGTGAGGAAAAACAGGCGCGCAGAACCAAGCTGTGAACCAACGAACGGCCAGACGCCTGCTGCTTCCTCGTGGTTTTGTCGAGACTGCGTGTAAATGCCGGTGCGCTGCAGCTAAGACACTTGGACAACAAGTTTTGGCCATATCTAGCACATGTGAGCGAACATCGGCTGGTGCTGTTTGTGAGACGGCACAAGAAAGGCCCATGGCCCAATGCTGCTTGAGTTGTTCTTCGCGCAGAGTGCTTGAACGAGTTGCCATCCTGCGAGGGATGAGACTGTCGCACGATCCGATTGCCGACTCAGAGCTTTGACTGCTAGGCCACACAAGTGGGCAAGACAAAATACAAAGGGTAGAGGCACATTTTTGGAGAAACACCGCAACACCTTTACGAGAAGTGTTCGAACACTTGACTACATTTTAAGTCAAGCTCCAGATTGAATAAAGGCGCATGTGCCCTTGTGGAAGGAGGTTACGTCGAGGTCACACACAGCCGATCAGTCACACGACGATCTTGAGCTTCGCTCGCTCTCCCTGAGACCTGCGGGCGTGCAAGAGGCTCGAATCAAGTGAGAGGTTGTCCCTTGAGCAGGGTTTCTCCAAAAGCCGCAGGGGTGCAAAATGAGAATGGCCCCTCCATTGTTTTTGTTTCTTCCCGGGACCGACGTTTTATCCTCTGCAGAGGGTCTTTGGAACACCCTTCTTGAGGAAGCTAAACGTCGATTCTGCTTGGGATCGCAACGGGTGTTGAGGAGCAGCAGAGGGGATATGTTTGCCAGCTGTCAATCCAGCAAATTGAGGGATGCCCAATTGTCTTTGCCACACAGCCTTTGCTCCGCTTGCATATTTGCATATTGGCAGAATTTGAAGGTGGGCGATGTATATCGACTGCTAAAGGGAACTCTAGGAGCATAGCTTCTGCTTGCGAATGGCAGATGGGGTCAACTTTTCAAGAGCGAGTCTCATGCGCCTTTCCCAAGGAAAGAGAGAGAGAGAGAGAGACCAAAAGTCAGCATGCCCCCTTCAAGCCTCACTGCAGCCTGAACCAACAAGAGAACCCTCTTTGCAGGCTGTATGAGCCTATGAGACTGTCTGATTTCCAAAATATCAGAAGCTCTTGCGAGTAAACCAACCAGTGTCCGCTGTTTGTACTGTTCTTGGATTGGCAAGTGTAGACTTGTTTGTTGACTCAACGCCACTTTCCTGTCCACTAGATGGACGGTTTCTCCAATATCTTCACATCTTCACAATATGCCGTTTCATCACTGCCACAACACATTGCACGTGCAGGCAGGTTCTTGCACTGATGCCAGTATGACCGCCATGGAAAGTTATTCATGCTTAACTCGCTGTGCATTGTTTAAGAGCCTCATGCCGATGCATGGTTCCATGCATGGGTATCGGACAGCAACAGGGGTGGCTTGATTGCTATTGGGTGGGATCTTTAGACTTCAACTTTTTCGGGAAAAGGTGTCTTTTCCAGCTCACTTCTTGAGTTCACTTGTTTTAACCTTTTTTGGGAATACCATTTTAGTGGGCGAATCACAACGACCTCACACGACCTCACCCCAAATGGTGGTTATGTGGGGAAGAGCCCAACCTTATTTCAGTTTGATGAAATATTATGAATGACCCAGATTTTCGTGGTACACAAGTTCCTGGGACTTTTTGCCGCACCAAGGGGAAGTGAGCCATTGAACCCCAGCTGCGAACGCTCCAGGCCATGGCTCCAGTCGGGCACCCAAAACGTGGGAAAAAGGGTCGGCCAGGCCAATCTCTGCATAGAGTTTATGTAATGCACCTCCATTTGCTGTTTATATATATATATACATATGATTTTGCTGATGTTGTTGAATATGTTTTTACTTTTTCGTTTGGTTTAGGGAATCTATCACTGGACAGCAATATTTTTCGAGGGGCTAAATGGACGTATAGCACACCCGTTGTTGGAGGACCGGAACAAATGCGTGCTACATCCTGTCAAAAAGAAGATGTATTTCCAGTGAAGCAACATATGCTGCTCCCCATCCTCTCCTGGCTTGTCGCCAAGCTGCTACATTGGCAACGTCACGCTGACTGACTGCAGATCACGTGTGATGTTGTTACAAGTCATGATTTTCAATCCGCTACTTAACATGCAGCAACAAGAGCGCGGAAGCATCACCCTAGTCACAACAGCTCTCTTTACGGCCCATGTCTTGCCACGTTTTTGCGTGCTGACTGTACTTTCTGATCCCGCAACATGGACTCTGTTGACTCTGTTGAATGTACGCTTCTACTTTATATACCTTTCGGGCTTTGCTTTGTTGAGCACTTGGGGTTCTTGGTGATGGCAATTGCATTTTGCCGGTGCGCAGTTCCGGGGGCGAATTGTCAGTTGTTGTGAGCTTATTGTGTGCATTCTCAGCAGAGTGTAGCGTAGCATGATTGGACAGATCGACGGAACATGCTCAGCATTGTCTGAGAAGATCAGAGAGCAGCAAGTAGTTTTAGGGCTCCGACGGCTATTGTCGTAGGATTAACCCCCCTCCTTCCTGTTTCCCAAAAGATGACCCTGACCGTTTGGAGATGAGGGGAAGGGAGGTTAGGCAGAGGTGGGGTTGGATCCGTGGATTGACATCTCCGTGCATGCAGCCTTGAAGCCTCAGGCGTTGAGCACCGATCAGCTTGACCGGCCACACCACAAACGTGAACGACCAAAACCGACTCGGCAGCCAGCCAGCAGTCAGCCAGCAATCAGCCAGCAATCAGCCAGCCTTTCCCAACACACGTCGCACACACACACACACGCACACACACTTCTGGGAAGCATGTTCATCATGTCTGGCTTCCTGCCAACACACGAGTAATTCCCATTTTGACACTCCTCTGCCTTCACACCTTGCCAGCCTCAGCCCTCACTCCGCTGGCGCGTCCGCGAATTCGAAGAGTCCCTCGCTGGTTTCACTGTTTGCCTAAGGTTTCGCACTGAGGAAAATTTTGGGGGAGAATCTTCCGTGAGCTTCCCATGCGCACGCCATGGCCCAGCGTTGGCCTTGGCCACAGGAGTTCGTGCGCAACATGTGCAACCCGTCAAAGTCAAACGACCCCAGAATCGGCGCTGTTTCCGGGGCCAGGGCACGTCTATGCCACTTTGTTTAAGAAGGCGTGGCGCATAACTTGCGGTGTTTGGGCTCATGAGGATGCATCGCTTCCAAGTGGGTATCAATTCAAAACTCAATCTGATCAACTGCATTCAGTTTGGGTTATTCTACACTGTGCCAGGTTTTCAGGAAAACAACACCTTGAGTTTCAAAAGGCCAATGTAACATGCTACCGGCTGCTTTGTTCTGGGGGCGTGTTGTCAAAGACCACGTCTTTACTACATAGAGTGTGCTTGTTAACACCGACATATTGGCTGATAGATGTAAATGTCACATGTAGGAAACTTAATTCAAATCTAGGCATTACATGGCATGATTGTGGTGGATTCCATTTGAGTGTTTGCAAGGGGGCCACGTTGGGTGTGTTTCAGACGGAGGTCCCAGTGGTTCACGCATCCTGCTATTGATTTGATTCAAGCAACTCGATTGTCATTGTGGAAACACGGTTTAGACTCACAACGTATTACATGCCCACCCAGCAACAGGTAACATGCCCTTCCCAAACCAGACTGAGTGTTCACTTTCATATAATGTTGATGCGCAAATGGTATGAGGGTGTCTTGATGCGGCAGTGTAACAAAGTTGCGGCGGGCATGCTTTACATCCCCCGTTACATACCCTATGCAGCAAGACCTCCTGGCTCGCCACATACCCCTCGTTTTGTAGCTCCGTCGCATACCTGATTAACAAAACCGCCTGGCTGGTTACTTACCTCCCCGTTGCACAACCCGATGCATACCCAGACTCCCATTAATGCCTGCAGAGCGGAGTTTTGCAGAGCATGCTTTCGCTGGACATATTTGTGAAGAGACTTGCAGAGAGCTAGCCATTCAGAAGAAAAGCGGGCTGCCGTTCGGAGAAAAGCTGGAGCAGGTGGGAGGGGCCGGAGAACAGAATCCTTTTCTGCCCTATACCTTGTTACATGTTTGTTGCATACCTCCCCGAGCCGGCACCCCCTTTTTTTCCGTCGCCTTGCTTACGGTGAATAGTCGCAACTTTTGGGGTTTGCGTTCCACGCTGGCACTGAATAGTTGCACCGAGCCTACATCGCAGCCAATATTTCACGCGTGTTGGTATGCGGACAACTTCCTTTTGAAAACAGCAACACACACACACAAATAACACAAACATTGACACAAACACATGCAAGACAGGGGTACGGCTACTAATGCAAACACAACCACGCAAACACACACACACACACAGGCGTACACAAACACAGACACGGAAAGAGACACAGGCATCAACACTCACATAAACACCCAAACGATGCTGAATTCCATCCTGTGCTGAAGCAGGGACCATCACTGGCAAAACGCTGAGTCAGCAAGCTCTTACGCTGCTCTCGCGCTAGACTGGCTCACACAGACTATGTTGAATACTTTGACAACGCAAAGATGGTGCTTCAGCCTCCGAGTGTTGGCGTGCTTTGTTTCCAGCAACTCCTCATGCTAAACATGAGTAGACTGACCACATTTTTGGGGGTCTCCCTGCTTTGACATGTTTTTTGGCGTGGACTTCAGGCATCCTAGCGCACGTGGACCATGGCAAGACCACCTGTGCAGACAACCTGGTCAGCACCAATGGCCACATCAGCAAGCACCAGGCGGGCAAGATCCGCTACATGGACTCCCGTCAGGCCTTGCGCGAGGGGGGGGGGAAGGGAAAACGACTCAGGTCTCGTGGAACCACTTCACTGAGGTATACTTTGAGCTACCACTAAGAGGGTTCGTGCGAGGGATATGTGTTGGAGTGGAGTAGTGTACAGCAAATACACCAGAAAAAAAAAAAAAAAACAAAGTGGAGTCTTCAAAACGAAGCATCATGACATGAACAAGAACCGCAGACGATTCTTTAAAACGAAGGATTCTAAGAAATTCCAGTTTGGCACATCAGGGTTTGGCCGAAGCTTTTATTTGCTATAGTTACTGGTTCTGACTATGGTTATGATGATCCTCGGATCCCGTCGGATGGTTTGTTACTTTTGTCACTGCTTCTGGCAGTTGGTTGCCTTCCGCGCCTGACGCGAATGGGCATGTGGCCATTGCAATTCAAGCAGAGGTTCTTGAATGTTTCCGGGCCTGTAGTGAGATCGTCTGGAGTAGAACGAGCTCACCTGCGGTGACGCTTCCTTATCCCAGTGGTGTGCGCAAGCATGCTTCGGGCTGGCGACAACATTCCTGCGACCCTTTGTCGCAACGAGGAAACGAACTAAGCATGCGGTTCGTATTCGTTTGAAGGTTTGTCTCACCTTCGCGACAGCCAGAGAGTTGCTTCGGTGCTGACTGGCCTGCATGCGAAGACCAAGACCTTGAAACTGAATCAACAGAGGGTGTGTGTATGGTTCTTTTGAGGATGCAACTTTTCGGGTTGGTTTGCAAAGCAATCCAAAAGGACTATCCGCTATTTAGCCACACCCGTTTGGAAGACCTCTACAATGCTGGCACATGCTTCCCTGCTCGGTCATGTTTTCCCTCGGATGGAACCAGCAACCATAAAGAGGAAGACACAACCAAACAGCATGTGTCAAACCAACAGAAAGCCACAGCTCCACATGTAATGCCAGTATATCACCCTTTCCAGCCCCGGTCTCCCTTGGATGGAACCTACAACCATGAAGAAGGCCACACCTCCACATGCACGCCGGTGATCCGTCCCGTTTTTGTTTGGTTCCTTTCCGGTCACCAACTAGGTCCCCCGATTGTGCCCTTTTACCGATTTGTTTACGGGGAGGGTTCCCCTACTAAAATCGACTACAGAAAAAAAAGGTACCAACTTATTCTAACCTCTCTGGAGGACCTAGAATTTGGTTGGTATTTAGACTTTGAACGGAGACCAAAAGGATGCCTTCCATTTTGGTACCAACTTATTCTAACCTCTCTACTGGAGGACCTAGCTTCAAGTACCCGTTTTCAAAAGCATGCCTTCCATTTTGGTTCTTTTCGGGTCCCTTCCATTTCTGTCCGGGGAATTTTTTGCTCCAGGACGAGCAGGAGAGGGAGATCACCATGAAGTCGAGCTCCATCGCCCTGCGCTGGGTGAACCCCAAGGAGGACCACTTCTTGGCGCCCCGCTGGCTGTTTTTTTTTGGGGATCAGAGGAAGGAAAGGAAGGGAGAGGTTTGAGTCTCACAGGTGCTTTGGAACCACATGGAAAGTGAAAGACACCTTTGTTTTTTGTTTCCTATGTTTTTTTCTGAACTCACCTTGTTTTTTTACAATAAGGGAGGTTCTTGAGTCTTTTGGAAATTTTCCGAGACTCAAGAGACTCCTTTTCTTTTGCTAGAGTCTCACATGTGTTTTGACTCTTTTGGCATTTCATGTTTTTTTGTTTTGTTTTTTCAATGAATCTTGGGACGTCAGAAAGGGTCCCCATCCAGCTTCCAATGGTCCCTTTCCAGTAAAGCAGGATCCAGAGACAAGGCGTGAGACCTTGGATTCAAGGCTAGGGTTCTATGGGGCAACTGACCTCACCCTTCTTCCAAGTGTTCTTGGAGCCCATTTGAATCACCTTTTAGTTTATGGGTCCACAAAATCAAAAATCATTTTAAGTTAGACCAAAAGGTGATGAAGCCTGTTTTTTGGGGACCAAGAGAAAACCTGACCAATCCAGGGTTGACAAATACCATTTACATGCGCAATACATACAGATATATATATATATATATATATTTATATGTATGTATATATATATATACACATATATATAATATATAATATTATATAATATATATATATAATATGAATGTGTATATATATATATATGTACACGTACTTGCGCCCTTTGCATTCAGAAGTGAACCATGCCCTATGTTCCACCTTCAGCCGCTTTCTCCTCAGGCAACCACCGGGGGACCCCATTTGTGTTTGCCTCTTCCAAACCGTTTTTGCAGTTTGACGGTTGGCTTCCTTTTGGAAAAGCAAAGGACAGGAGGTCACGTCACTTGGCCAAAGTCTGTTTTGGCCGCTAGCTGGCAACCTTGTGAGGAGCCCATGGCTGATTTCCCTTTTGGGGTGATGCTCTAAGGGGAAGCTTTAGAGCGTCCGGCTCAGTCTCCGCTGACCTTGTACCTCCCATGAATGTCCCTTGTCGTGCTACTCATTTCCCCTTCATTTCCCCTCTTCATCTCTCTTTGATTTCCCCTCCTTCATTTCTTCTTCATGTCCCCTTCATTTCCAATTAATTTCCCACGCATTTGCCATTCATTTCCCATTCGGTTCCCTTTCATTTCCCCCGTCATCTCCCCTGTTTTCCTGCATTTCCTCCTCATTGCTCTTCATTCCCTGTCATTTGTTCCCTTTCATTTCCCCTTCTTCATTTCCCTCCGGTATCCAACACGCCGAACAATGTCGGCGGATATAGGCAGCCCTGTGAGGTACCTTTCTTGTTTCCAAGCACCAGGTGTTCGCCATTTGTCTCAAACCAACTTTTGTTTGCTCCCAATAACCGAACGAACGGTTTTCACCATTTAAGCTAAGCAGGCTTCCCTCGGTTCGAAGAGATCCACCATCAAGTCCGTTTTGTTGGGTTCCAGATCCGGAACCATCCGTTTTTGGTGTAGTCAAGTACCCCCTTTGTTTTGGTTTGGATTGACGGTTTGGGGGATTTGAACCCCTGGCTTTTGTAGAAGGTAAAAGGGGAAGCCCCTCCATTTCACCACCCATTTCACCACCAAACCAAAAAAAAACACCAATCAGAGGCAAGGTGATATATAGGATGGCTAAACAGTCACCCCTTTTAAAGAGGCTTCCCTCGGTTGGTTCCCCATTAACTCCGACGCGATCCGACACGATGTGAGTCAAAACCCGGGTAGAGGAAGGTTAGTCAGGGACAATCCCAAGCATAAATCGCTGCGCCTTGATATTTCCTTGCGCGTCCTTGCATGGTTCTGGGTCAACCATTTTAATACCAGGTTTTGAGCAAGCGACTCACTTTGCATGGTTCTGGGCAGCGGCCATGGTGTCCGGCTTCTCGATTCTTGAAGCATGGTTCTATGGTGTCTAAATGCGGTCGACCATTTTACTACCGGGTTTTGAGCAAGTGACTCCTGTGAGGAATCAGACAGTCCAGGTGATTCAGGATAAAACATGTCGCCCCCTTTTTTTCGAGGCGTCCCTCGATTTGTTCGTTTGGTTCCCCACGCGATCCGACACGAGGTGAACCTCATCGACTCCCCGGGGCACGTGGACTTCACCTCGGAGGTGTCCACGGCGGCGCGGCTGGCGGACGGGGCGCTGGTGGTGGTGGACGTGGTGGAGGGCGTGGAGGCCCAGACCCGCACCGTGCTGCGCCAGGCCGGGGGCGGATGCGGATGCGGATGCAATGAGAGAGAGGGAGATGCGCCCGAATCGGAGCGGGGGCGGAAGTTTTTTTTTGTTGTTTTCTCCGGATTTTCGGGGGGTGTCTTTTGTTTTTTTTGTTGGAGAAAGCCTGGTTGAAGTTGGTTGGTTACTGGTTGATGTTGGTTGGTTGGTTGGTTAAAAAGGGGATATGGTGTTTCTTTGCTTGTTTTGTCATCTTAGCGTTTGGTATGTGTGAGTTCTTGTTCATTGTTTGCTCGTTTTTTTTTGTTTTGTACGTCAAAGTGTTGTTGTTTATCGTGTTTCGTTCTGTGTGCGTGGTGTTGTTTCATGTTTTCAGTCTTTGTTTGTGCCCCTTTTGAGTTTCAGTGTTTTGTTGCACCACTTGGTTGATATGTACAGATGTGCCCCAAAATTGGGCTAAACATAATTTGGCTTCTGTTTGGTTTGTGCCAGGGGCGCTGCTTTTGCAGGTTGTGCAACCCAGAGGTCCCTTACTTCATATTCACAATCTTGGGTTTGGTGAAAGGGGATGTTTGTCAGCTGCAAAGTCCCAAGTGCGCAAGCCTTGTGTAGTGAAGGGTTTTGCTGTTGTCTTGATCACTCATGAGCGCTGCCCAGTTTGGCGGCCTTGTTCAGTTGGGGGCTTGGAGTTGTTTTGAGGAGCTGTTTTGGAGATTAGGGCAATGCATTGCGACCACAGGTGGTCCATGGGATCTTGAAAGGTTTTTTCCGTTTCGGACCACGCTTCTGGAAGGGAGCACATGCTATGAAAGGTTGGTGGGAGGGGGGGGGACTTGGACAAGTTATAAGTCAGAGCCGGACAGGAGGAAGTGGGCCAAGGAGGCTAGGTTGGCGACAAGTGAGAAACGTGAGGCAATTTCACTGTGCAGCCATGTGTCGTGCAACATGTGACTTGCCCCTTGTGGGTGAAGCGTTCATTGGTCGTGTTTGGCAGGCCCTGTTGGAATTCATGAGACCTGCAACAGATAGGCAGCTGGCGTTGACTGGCTGAATTGCGCAGCTGGGACACTTCTAGCAAGGTACAACAGCGATTTCATCAGCCCCTTCTTTGAGGACTCCGTATGTCTGGGTTCTGAACACAAGCGCCATTCCAGTGCACAGCTGGCCTTTTTGCCGCATTGCCCTGCGCTCGGCGAGTGTCTTCAGTGCCAAACCACTGCCTCCCATAGAAATTGGAGTACTACAGTATACCATGATTATATTCATAGCCGAATAGTGGATGCATGAAAGACGTGTGATGCACATAACAGACAGGTGTATGTCAGTATTACGTAGTAGATGGAAATATGTACGCACATGTTTGCTGACATGATCAAGAACTTTACAGGCCAATGCAAGATGCCAGGCTTGCACCGTCAGTTTGTTGTTTGCAATGGTGTGGAGCAGGTCATGTCAGGGCCAGCCTGTACATCAGAGCACGATACCTGTTGAGGAACCCTCCCCCCAAAAGAAAACATAAAATTCTCCGAGACACATGGTGTACTTTTGCGCTTTATGTGAGGCCTTGGCTTATACAAGGCTTATACGGGTGAGATGTGCGGCGCGTGACCCCTCAATCTGTGCGCCAGGCCTACCGCGATCGGGTCAAGTCCTGCCTGTTTCTGAACAAGGCCGCTTGAGCGTCGATCGAGTCTCAGTCGCAGGTCTCTTGCCATGAGATCTGAATCCAGTTCAGCCGGGAGCTGGCCATTGACACGCAGTCTGTATCTTGTGGCAACACAATCTGCCAGTACTGGCGCTAGCAGACATGCAGATTCTGAAGATGGCAGTAGCGTTTAAAGAGCAACTGATGTGCTTGTCGCGCTGATGCGGTGCACAGTGTGCTCAGCATCAGGTTGCTCGGGTCGAGGACATCTATGTTGGTGAGCGGCGGCTTATGTTTTAGCTTCCCCGTATGGTAGTTTGGTTCTGCTAGCATTCTTGCTGTCAACTCACCAAAGAACTGGGGCTGAACGCCACAGCGCGCTTCACACGCCTGATTTTTGTTGTGCGTGCTGACACAGCCCCACTGGGACACTGGATATGTGGCGTGTTCCTTGCGAAGCCCAAGAGGCTTACAAAGCTCAGGGGACGATACTTGGGTTCTACCTTGCAAAAGGACAATCGCGTGTGGCATCCAAAAGGAACCAATCTGTTAGAGCCCACTCAACAGGTCACCTACAACGTTCGCAGAAGCAAAACGCTCGCCAACCACTGGTTTCTGTCCCAAAAACAGTTTCGCAGGTCACCTAAAACGTTCGCATTAGCAAAACGCTCGCCAACCACTGGTTTCTGCCCCAAAAACAGTCTCGCAGGTCACCTAAAACGTTCGCATAAGCAAAACACTCGCCAACCACTGGTTTCTGTCCCAAAAACAGTCTCGCAGGTCACCTAAAACGTTTGCATAAGCAAAACGCTCGCCAACTACTAGTTGCTGTCCCAAACCACTAGTTGCGCAGGTGGACAGACTTATCTACGAGCTGAAGCTGTCGCCGATGGACATCCATTTGCCGCTGGGACTGGTACAGGGCTTCCCAAGCTCCACATCCTTGGTGGCTGAAAGAGCCCATCAGCTTGCGGGCCAGGGTTCCTCGTGGAAATGAGTTGAAAAGGGACACATTATATTTTGGGGGTTCGCCTGTTGCAGGATGCTTTTTTCGAACGATCCCAGAAAACGCTGCCAGGTTGAATGGGGGACACCTTCAAATTGGTGGACATGCGACCCCATGTGCTCGTGGAATGATGTCCACCAAAGGGGCCCCAACCAAAGCTCATGCCCATGTAAAAGGGAAAGCCAAGAGGGAAGCCAACCATTTCTTGGTGCGGACCTAAGTTTCAACCGGCCCTATGCCAGTAGCCGCTGTTTGACTCACAAATTCGGCTCGTGAGGCGACTTCTGCGCATCGTGGAACAGATCAATGCGGCGAACCAGCAGCTGCTGTCCGAGGCGCGGACTTCCTATTCCTGGCATGGAATCGGCGCGACGAATTGAATGTGTGCGGATAGTCAGGGTTTCCTATATTTCCCTTTTTGGTGGTTTTGAATCATCACCTTTTTGGCCACTCCAAAGTGAGTTTCCTTTTGGTGGGGGTGATGTTCAAAAGGGGAGCATAGGGAGCCCTGATAATGTCCAAAGCCAGTCATCGACAAATGCTGCGTGAGTATGCGGGACACAAATCATATCTAAATATGTTCAAGTCCCTGATTCCCCTGAACAGACTGGACTGGTCAGCAGTGGGGTCTTTTGACGCCACGTTTTGTGGAAAATGGTTCGATCCCCTCGTAGTGAAGGATTCCTTGTTAAGGGGGTCGCCATTTTTGTTTACACAAGGTGGCAAAAAGACCCCCCTGATTGTCAGCGGAATTTCCTGTGAACATAAGTAGATATGATGATAGCCTAAGGAAAGTGTCATGATGTCAGCCTAAGTACACTGTCTAGTTTCACAGGAACAGAATTATCAGCCGAAGTTCAAATGTGAAAAAGGCGCCTTGGCCCATCAGGAGGCGATGGCGAGGGACAGCGCCCGCAAGAGCTCCGAAGAGTTGGTGGACGCGGTGGACCTGGCGGATGAGCTCGACTTCGAGGGCGAGGACAGCGTGGCAAACCCACATGTGTTTTGGGAAACCCCGGTTTGGGCGAGAAAAACATACTTAGTAGCAGCCGTTTGTTTCTTTTTTTGGGGGAGTTTTGCTACCTTTCATTGGTTTATAGAAACAAGTTTGGGTTGCTCCATTCGGAGGCAAGCATATGCTGAAATGGAGCATGCGCCAAGCTGCTCAGTGTCACTTGTTTCTTTTGTGTGGCCGCTTTCCGATCGCGGGCCCAAAAAGGGTTCACCTTGTTTGTTGAGGCAGATCCATTTTTTTCGGTTCTTTGTATGTGTTCAATGTTAAGCATTTAGCGCCACGTCCAATTGGTGGGGACGCAGTAACTTGAATGGTTTGTGTTCTTTGAGTTCCTGGTTCATCAACCCCTCCCGTGACAAAACAGCTCGGGGAATGGATGGCCGGTTTTGCCTTCGTCGCTTGCTGATCTTCGCATTGTTGCCATTTGAGATATACACGTCTGGACAAACACGATTGAACATGGGGATTGGAATGAGCGGAAGTATGTCGATGGTGAAACAGCAGCACCTTTTTGTCAGTCATGAGAATTGCATAAGAGTTTGGAGCACTTTCCGTTACCCCCCTCTTCAAGTAAGTGATCTCTGCCATGTTGGCTTGTTTTTTTTTTGCGTGTTTTGGCCAGCCTTCCCTGGGCCCAAGTCGATCACAGTGATCCCATCAGTCCTAGTCCTGTGAGCTAGCGCAGTAGAATGGTAGGGGGCTGCTCGCAGCACAGATTGGCTTTCCTAGGTCCCCCAGCTAGGTGCCCTTTTGCCCCTTTTTCTTGGGAGCGTTCCCCTACAAAAATAGACTACAGAAAGAAGTTGGTACCAACTTATTCTAAGCTCTCTGGAGGACCTTGGTTCATTGGGCTCGCCCTCAATGGTTGGTGGAAGTCCCTGCGCCGAGGATGTCCACCCAACGGCTTCCCAAGATGCAATGCCGTGCCCCACTTGTTCGTTCGGTGGCCAGTGAAAGGCTTTTGGTGCAACTCCCAGTTGCAGTGGACTCCGCCCTTTTTTCCCCCTTTTTTGGTTGCAAGGGTTCCCCGAAATAGCCTCAACCAACCAACAAAGGGATGCCAATTACCAATTAGTTTTCCCATGGAAATCCACTGGGCATCTGAGATAACACTCGAGTGGGAAGAACAACTCAGATGAGATCTCAACAAACGGCTGTGGGTCAAAAAGGCTATCCCCAAAAAGGGTCCCATTTCCTGGTGGCTTAATTTTGACCCACACCCAAGTCGCCAATCTGGGTGTGGCTCAAAATTCCATAGCCAGGGTTACGCACATACCCCTTCGATAAGGGGTGGGGGGTTTGTTGTTCGGGGGGGTGGGGCTCGAATAACAAGTGGGGGGGAGGGGGGGAGTTGTTGTTCGGGGGGGGGGGGCTGGAACCACAAGTGCGGGGGGAGAGACTTGTTGTTCGGGGGGGCGGGGCTCGCATAACAAGTGGGGGGGGGGTTGTTGTTCTGGGGGGGGGGGTCGAACAACAAGTGGAGGGGGCCAACTTGTTGTTCGCGGGGGGGGGGCTCGAATAACAAGTGGGAGAGGGGGGTTGTTGTTTCTGGGGCGGGGGGGCGCACTTGTGGGGAGAGGACTTCTTGTTCGGGGGGGGGGGGGGCGACAACAAGTGCGGGGGAGGAGGGCTTGTTGTTTTGGGGTCAGACAAGTGGGGGGGGGGGACTTGTTGTTGTTTGCGGGGGGGGGGTCGAGCAACAAGTGGGCGGGAGAGGACTTCTTGTTCTGGGGAACAAGGGGGGGGGACTTGTTGTTCCCGGAACGGGGGGGTCGAACAACACGTGGGGGGGGGGGGACTTGTTGTTTGGGGGGGGGGGGGTCGAACAACAAGTGGGGGGCTGGTTGTTGTTCGCGGGGGGGGGGGGGGAACATGCTACTCCGAGCGTTTAGGGAGCTACATGATCAGCGTGTGTGGGCGCACATGTTTGGCTTTCCTTTGGTCTTGACCGATTTGAACCTCGTGTGGGCGGCTCATCTCTTGACTAGGGGGGTCCTCTGCGGTTGGGCAAAACCATGCCTTCTTCCAAACCTGTTCCTCGTTAGTGTTTGGCCGGTTTTTTGAGCCTCTGCGCGGCTGATGCAATCCAAATACATCAAAGAAGGGCGGGTTTCGAGTTGCAACGTTAGTCCTTCAGGAGGCTCGGTGGTAGACATGTAAGAAGCGCAGCATTCTCTTCTAGAAGTCCCACGGCTGCATTGGATTGGACATCTGTTGCCAGTGTGCGCATGGGTTTCGGTTGTGCAGCTTTTTCCTTCTAGGTGTCCCACGGCTGCATTGGATTTGGGAGTCTGCTGCTAGTGTGTGCATGGGTTTCGCCTGCGCCGTGTCTTCTGCTTTAGAAGTCCCACGGCTGCGTTGGATGGATGCTGCAAGGTGGACAACGCCAAGGAGCCCTCTTGGTCCGACTGGTCCGACTGGCGTGCTTGGGGCCCGAGCGCGCAAAGCTCTTGGTCCGACTGGCGTTGGAGCCGCGATGTGCCTTGGCACATGTGATCGCTTTGTTCTGTCCATCGTGGGGCCGTGAGATTCTAGGAAGACGTTTTATTTCCATCAGCAAGCCGCAATCGCTTGGTGGTTTTACTCGAGCACGTCATGCGGGATTGAAGCGGGCAAGCTAAAGGCCTCTTCAGGGCCACTGGCGATTGAGGCAGACAGCACAGAGACGGCGGCCTCAGATGGGCGTTCCCGCGATGTCCCTTGGCACCCAGATTCGATCCTTCTTGTTTCAACGCATTCTGGGGGGGGGGGAAACACGCTACTCCGAGCGTTTAGGGAGCTAGATGATCAGCGTGTGTGGGCGCACATGTTTGGCTTTCTTTTGGTCTTGACCGATTTGAACCTCGTGTGGGCGGCTCATCTCTTTACTAGAGGGGTCCTCTGCGGTTGGGCAAAACCATGCCTTCTTCCAAACCTGTTCCTCGTTGGTGTTTGGCCGGTTTTTTGAGCCTTTGCGCGGCTGGTGCAATCCAAATACATCAAAGAAGGGCGGGTTTCGAGTTGCAACGTTAGTCCTTCAGGAGGCTCGGTGGTAGACATGTAAGAAGCAGACAACGAGATCCCGAAAGCGGAGTGTCACTGGGATAATTTTCACGAGTCCACAGCATGATCTCGGCAGCCGGGAATTCTCAGACATGGAAAGCAGCATCTTGGCAGTAAAGCTTCAGGGGAATAATTTTCAGGAGTAGGTAGCAAGATCTCGGAAGCAGAGCTTCGGTGGAATAAGTCTCAGAAGGACGCTGCGGAACTCAACAATGTTACGGCTGGCCCCCCTCCCCGAAACAACCCCCCCCCCCCCCCACTTGTTATGCGAGCCCCCCCCCCCCGAACAACAAGTCTCTCCCCCCCCCCCGCACTTGTGGTTCCAGCCCCCCCCCCCGAACAACAACTCCCCCCCTCCCCCCCACTTGTTATTCGAGCCCCACCCCCCCGAACAACAAACCCAACATGCGGTGCGGGGGGGGGAGAGAGGATTCCTTGTTCCGGGGGGGGGGGGGGGTGGGGGGGCGGGGGGACAAAAAGTGCGGGGGGGGGGGGGGGGGGTCGAACAACAAGTGGGGGGGGGGGGACTTGTTGTTGTTCGCTGGGGGGGGGAGGTCGAGCAACAAGCGGGCGGGAGAGGACTTCTTGTTCTGGGGAACAAGGGGGGGGGACTTGTTGTTCCCGGGGGGGGGGCGAACAACACGTGGGGGGGGGGGGGGAACGGGTGGTTGGGGGGGGGGGGGGTCGAACAACAAGTGGGGGGCTGGTTGTTGTTCGCGGGGGGGGGGGGAACACGCTACTCCGAGCGTTTAGGGAGCTACATGATCAGCGTGTGTGGGCGCACATGTTTGGCTTTCCTTTTTTGGTCTTGACCGATTTGAACCTCGTGTGGGCGGCTCATCTCTTGACTAGGGGGGTCCTCTGCGGTTGGGCAAAACCATGCCTTCTTCCAAACCTGTTCCTCGTTAGTGTTTGGCCGGTTTTTTGCGCCTCTGCGCGGCTGGTGCAATCCAAATACATCAAAGAAGGGCGGGTTTCGAGTTGCAACGTTAGTCCTTCAGGAGGCTCGGTGGTAGACATGTAAGAAGCGCAGCATTCTCTTCTAGAAGTCCCACGGCTGCATTGGATTGGACATCTGTTGCCAGTGTGCGCATGGGTTTCGGTTGTGCAGTTTTTTACCTTCTAGGTGTCCCACGGCTGCATTGGATTTGGGAGTCTGCTGCTAGTGTGTGCATGGGTTTCGCCTGCGCCGTGTCTTCTGTTGGATGCTGCAAGGTGGACAACGCCAAGGAGCCCTCTTGGTCCGACTGGTCCGACTGGCGTGCTTGGGGCCCGAGCACGCAAAGCTCTTGGTCCGACTGGCGTTGGAGCCGCGATGTGCCTTGGCACATGTGATCGCTTTGTTCTGTCCATCGTGGGGCCGTGAGATTCTAGGAAGACGTTTTATTTCCATCAGCAAGCCGCAATCGCTTGGTGGTTTTACTCGAGCACGTCATGCGGGATTGAAGCGGGCAAGCTAAAGGCCTCTTCAGGGCCACTGGCGATTGAGGCAGACAGCACAGAGACGGCGGCCTCAGATGGGCGTTCCCGCGATGTCCCTTGGTCAACGCATTCTGGGGGGGGGGGGGGAAACACGCTACTCCGAGCGTTTAGGGAGCTAGATGATCAGCGTGTGTGGGCGCACATGTTTGGCTTTCCTTTGGTCTTGACCGATTTGAACCTCGTGTGGGCGGCTCATCTCTTTACTAGGGGGGTCCTCTGCGGGGGCAAAACCATGCCTTCTTCCAAACCTGTTCCTCGTTGGTGTTTGGCCGGTTTTTTGAGCCTCTGCGCGGCTGGTGCAATCCAAATACATCAAAGAAGGGCGGGTTTCGAGTTGCAACGTTAGTCCTTCAGGAGGCTCGGTGGTAAACATGTAAGAAGCAGACAACGAGATCCCGAAAGCGGAGTGTCACTGGGAGAATTTTCACGAGTCCACAGCA